GAGTCCTATCAACCCTTTCCTCCCAATCCTCAAGCCCTCACTCCCTTCTCCGCCCCTGTTCAGCAGGAAGCAGCCAGAGAGAAAGCAACGTCCACAACCCCATAGAGGAGAAAGGGGGGAATGAAGGGCCCCCACCAGTAAGATGGCGAACTTCTGGCTTCTCTTCGGGGTCCTCGGTTCCCACCGGCGCCACCTGAAGCCCAATCACCTCTCACCCCCCTCCCAATCCCAGCACCTAGCCAATAGCCACCAGCCCCATAGAAGTAACACCACAATCACCCCATGCCCCTTCCTATATAACCCAGCACCTTTCCCCACTAAAGCGGATTTCTCCAGTGAATTGCTGCTGTGTGTCGCTCCTTTCCTTTCAGTGCCCACCACACTTAGGTGCTGTCAGAACTGAATCAGTGACTGTAAAGCACTAGTAAGTCATAGAAATATATACTATTGTTGCTATTACCTTTCCAATCTTTATACCTTGTCTTTTTTTGCCATGCTGCACTGGGTAGAACCTGAAGTACAAGGTCAAACAGAAGGGAAGCAAGTTGACATCCCCAGCTTCTTTCTCGTGTGAGCGGGAAAGTGTGACGTGATCAACCATTAAGCATCATATTCACTGTTTATTTGTTTACTGAGGAATGTCCATTTTATTCCAAGTTTGCTAAGAGTTTTTACTATGGTAGGATGCTGAATTTTATCACATGCTTTTTCTGCATCTATGGCAGGAATCATGATTTTTCTCCTATAAGATCTTAATGTCATGAATTACATTTATTTCATTTTATCACAATAAACCAAACTTGCATTTCTGGGATATTCTGTGCCACAGAGTTCATGAACATCAATTGGCAGTGGCCATGGCTGCCTGGAACCAGCCAGCTGTACATCAAAATAAAAAAGTGGGAGGAAAGATGGGTGCCCAGAGATAGACTCACTGTTACAGCCTCGGCCTGCTCTTCTGCTTCAGCACCCCCCACCCCCAACTCAGGGAAGGCAGTTACAGCAAATGCCTAAACCTAGTGGAGATTCCTTTTGCTCCCTGGATTCTGGCTACTTACAAGAGGTTTACAATGCCTCAGTCTGAGAAACTGGTCTCTTGCCACGTTCACGCTTTGGTAGAGCACCTTAAGAGCTCTGGCAAACTCTGTCCCAGCTGGCTTGCTGAGGGTGCACTTGGTTAAGCTGTCTGGCTGCTGGAAGTTAAGCTGTCATCCCAGTTACCTTCAGGGCACTGGAAGGCTTATGTGCTGATGTAGCAAGAAAAGATAATATTTATTTCATCTATTTATCCAGGTATCTATATTTTTATTTACTTTAGTGACATTCTATTATGTCAACCTTTATCAGGCATCAATTCAGACCTATCCAAAGAAATCTTACAAGGCAAAAGATTTTTGCCTTGTTTTTTAAATGAAACAAAATATAGATGAACTCATTAAAAAGTAATACACATTAGACAAATACACATCCCAAATGTAGGAGTTTATAGAGGAAAACTAAACAACCCAGACTTGAGTGGCCTCTCACCTTGATGACTAGAACCAATTTTCTCAAATGGTTCTCTGAGAAGCACGTTTTCCTCCCTTAGGACTCTGTTAATATTTCTTTTTTTCACTTTTTTTTTGGTATCATTAATCTACAATTACATGAGGAATATTATGTTTACTAGATTCCCCCCATCACCAAGTCCCCCCGACATACCCCATTACAGTCTCTGTCCATCACTGTAGTAAGATCCTATAGAGTCACTACTTGTCTTCTCTGTGTTGCACATCCCTCCCTGTGCCCCCCTACACATTATACATGCTATACATGCTATTCCTAATGCCCCCTTTCTTCCCCCTCACCCTTATCCCTCCCTTCCCATCCATCCTCCCCAGTCTCTTTCTCTTTGGTAACTGTTAGTCCATTCTTGGGTTCTATGTGTCTGCTGCTGTTTTGCTTCTTCAGTTTTTTCTTTGTTCTTATACTCCACATATGAGTGAAATCATTTGATACTTGTCTTTCTCTGCCTGGCTTATTTCACTGAGCATAACACCCTCTAGCTCCATCCATGTTGTTCCAAACGGTAAGATTTGTTTTCTTCCTAAGGCTGAATAATATTCCATTGTGCATATGTACCACATCTTCTTTATTCATTCATCTACTGATGGACATTTAGGTTGCTTCCATTTCTTGGCTATTGTAAGTAGTGCTGCAAAAAACATAGGGGTGCATCTGTCTTTTTCAAACTGGTCTGCTGCATTCTTAGGGTAAATTCCTAGAAGTGGAATTCCTGGGTCAAATGGTATTTCTATTTTGAGCATTT